TCTTGAACCATCTTTTGGAGGATCATCAGTTAGATGATTGTCTTTATCAATGCTTCGCCGATAAAGATGAACCGTTTTACTCCAATCAAGATAGTTAGAATTGTTGAGTTTGTGGTTCGTGATCTTAGACATCACAGGAACCACATCAGACGTAACGACAGATTTCGTTTCTGCCATGGGTTCAGAATTAACAGAAAAAAAAATAGAAAAAAGGACAGATCTGAACTCTTTAAAACAATGGTGAAGAATAGAACACAAATGTGTCCTATACAGAACCAGATGAACCGAATGATGACTAATGAATTTTCTGGCAGCGGACAGAGACCCTAACCTTGATTGTAGGGCTCTAATACCATGTTAACGAAGTTTTGGATGGAATATATTTCCTTTGGGACAGAAATATCGCCTTCCTACTCTTTGCTACCTCAATACCTAAAAAATACTTTAACAGTTCCAAATCCTTTGTCTGAAATTTACTATGGAGAAAAGTTTTAAGAGATGAAATACTTGCAGCATTATTCCCAGTGATAACAATATCATCCACATATACTACCAACAAAATAATACCAGTTTCAGACTGTTTGTCGAAAACAGAATGATCAGATTTGCTCTTCTGCATCCCAAACCTTTCAACTGCTAGACTAAATTTTCCAAACCAAGCACGAGGACTTTGTTTCAGTCCATACAAGGACTTCCGAAGATGACAAACCTTCCCAGAGTAGGAATAGGGCTTCTTATGGTTTTGTTTTCTGTCCTGCTTTTCCTTCTCATATTTAATTGTCCATGGTCAATAAATGCATGTTAGAAACTGAAATAGAAAGATATACTCTTTGGAGGACATGATTTTTGAACTTTTCTTGTAGGTTTGGAGTGTATTTATTTTACCTATTATTCTGGATATCCATATATCTTTCTGATTATGCTGAAATCATTTGAAGAGAAAAAAAGAAACTTCCAGATCTCTTAAAATGGACATAGTTAATTTATCATTCATTTACTGGTAAATAGGATGAACAGTTATTACTGGTAAGTTCTTTAATTTCGACTTTCAAATACCTGCATGATCTGTTATCTCCTATTGGAGTTCTTATTTCTTAGAATTCCTATAAACTCACATTCAAACGATACATTGGAGGCAAAAAGTATCATGGTATAACTGATGCTTCGATATGACTTAGCGATTCTCTATGCTGTTCATTTGGACTTTTGGACATTGTTGTACTTTCTTTGACATAGCTTCTGAATGTCATATCTCGAGGAAGAAATTTTTGGTTCCTGACAACCCAGAGGGGTAGGCCTTTCTATCCATCATGATTTGTGTTCTAGTCTGATTTTCCTCTTCAATTTTCTTCAAATTTTTTGATGGACTAATTACTCTTCTCAAGGCCCTGTCTTTTGGTTTCATGTCTTAGGTAAAGCCCCCACTATTTAGTAGGTGATATCCCATTTTCCCATTTATGGCTCATCTTCCTGTAAACCTATGAGTATTTCCTAGAGATACAATGGAATAGAATAGTGTATCACAAGCACTTTTGTACCCCTACAAAGATTTCATATCCATATCAGTAGGCCAAGAATTCACAATGCAGTATGCAAAAGCTACTGGTTGACCTGTGAGGTCCCTCCAATCCTCTAAACATGTAAGAATGAACTCCTAAGATGAAAACAACATCAAACTCAAATTTGCATTCTTGATTCTTCAAATTTAAATTTTGGCTCTATTGAAAGCCCTTTATTTTTTGACAAAAAAAAAAAAAAGAAAGCCCTTCATGTTATTACTATCCATTGCACACTCTTAAGTGTGAAAGGAACCAATTATGCATGCCTATCTCCTTTTTTCTGGAAATTGAAATCCAGTAATTTTTTAGTTAGGCCCTCACTACTATAGATATCACCCACTTAATTCCAGTCATTGGTCTATATCAACAATCTACAGCGATCTTCCAATCAGATTTCAAATTGTCTAGTTTGATTTTTTGTTATCTTTGTTGGGTTTCAGCCTTTAATGTTATGTGGCATAGTTCAAAAACATAAACTGATCTCATGGACCGATTGTGCACTTTGTTTCATATTTCAGTGTCAAAATGATTAAATTCAATACAAGTATTTATCGAAGCATTTAAAGTAGGCTGCATGTAATTATTTACTAAACATTTTGGCCTCAGATAGTGTAGTTGCTGGACTCAAAACACCTTATGGTTTAAATTACGTGCCATTTGCCCTATATGGCTTATTTCAGCTACTCATATACCTTTCTATTAGATAGGGAATGGGTTCTTTTTTTGTAAGTCAAAAGGGATAGATGGTACCATATAGAGCTTTGAGTCTTTCAATTACACTATTAGCAGCCAGAATTCTTTAGTGAAAAATTTCTTTGTTGCCTACATTAAAATCTTTGGCTAATATTTTTAATGATTTTATACATTTTGAGACTGAAATATGAAAGCTAACTGCACAATCAGTACTTGCGTCAGTTTATATTTTTGAACTATGCTGCTTATCAGTAAAGATTGAAACCCAATAGAGAGAATAATGAATCACACTAGAAAATTTTAATTCTAATTTAGAAATGGCTGTAGATTGTTGCCAGAGACGAATGAATTGTTTGGAATGAAATGGGTAATGCCTAGGGTAGTGAGGGCCTAAAAATGCTGGATTTTAATTTCCAGAAAAGAGGAGATAGGTGCGCATTTGACTTCTCTAGAAATGATGATGTCATGGATACAGACAAAGGTTTTCATTAGAACCAAAGTTTCAGTTTTAAGAATCAACAATGCAATTTTTTTTTTTTTTTGATATTGTTCGGGTCTAAAGAGTTTGCTCATGTGTTCCAATTCTTGGAAGGACTTCATTGGTCAACTAGACAGGCCTTTGAACACCTCTTAGATGAGGATGTTGTAGTTTAGTGTTTAAGTTGAATATGACACAAGGAACTAAGTAGAGCATCATTTTGGATTTCTGAGATTTTTATGGATTTTGTCTTTTCTAGATGAGTTACTTGTAATATATCTGTGGGTTTGTTACAGTTTTGTGGTGTTGTGGTCAAATAAATGGAGAAGAAAAAAATTTTATTTAGAAACTGAAACTCAGGTTTTAGAAATTCCAGACATTTGCAAGAAAGCATATTGCACTTGCGTTCAAGTGGAGGATGTTTTTGACTATTCTACAAGGTTTCAAGCAAAGAATACTCAGAATATACTAGGTTACTAAGAAGTTAGGTAGATTTGTAGAGTTTTACCCTTTGCATGCAAATATAGGATTCATAGGTAAGGACATTGCGCTTCAGGGTATCAATTGGATACTCAAATGATGAAAGAAGGAACAAAGTATATCTGCATGTTGTTAGATTCTAATTAGTATAGGTGGGTTACTTAAGAGTTTAATTGTGGGTTGTTGAATATTTGGAATATTGCCAATTAATTTTATGATAAATGAGCTGTGTTCTGGTCAAACAAATGGAGAAAAGAAAAAAGGCATTTAGAACAGAAAGTTAGATTTAAGAAATCCCAAGAATTGCAAGTCAGCAAGGTTCATTTGGATTTTTTTTTTAACCATTCTACAAGGCTTAAGGCAATGATTAACCAAATAATACTAACTTTGTTTAGACGTTTGTTGATGCTGTGCAAAGTTTGGTTCCTTAGTAGGCAATCGGAGGACTTGTACACAAGTATGTATTGCATCTTTTTGGATTCTGTCTAACTTAGGTGAATTACTTGGGATTTATCCGTGGGTTTTTCTTTTACAAATTTTGAGCATCGTCAATGATTTTGTGGTAAATAAGTAGTACTGGGGTGAAATAAACAGAGCAAGTTAAAACGGTATAGGGGATCAATTCATTTGGAAATTGTTTTTTTACCATTCTACAAGGCTTAAGACAGAGTTTTTAGAACATACTAAGTTTGATTATAAGTTCGCTGGTGTTGTGTAGAGCTTGGTCCTTTTACAAGCAATTAGAGGACTTGTAGACAAGGAAATTGCACTTTAGGATTTAACTTGAATGTCCAAATGGTGACATGAGGTACTAAATATCACATCTTTTTGGATTCTATGTAATTTAGGTGAGTTACTTGGTATTTATCTGTGGGTTTGTACAAATTTTGAGTATTGTCAATGACTTATTGTAGATAAGTAGTATTGTGCTGGAATTAATGGATAAAATAAAACTGGTATTTCAAATTTGGGACTCAGCTTCAATAAATTCTACAGATTTAATAAAGCATGCTATTCCAAGGTCCGTTTAGAGGTTGTTTTCAGTTCAAGGCAGTGAGGAACCTCAACATACTAGGCTTGGTAAAAACTTAGGTGAATTGTGCAGAGTTATGACCATGTTAGCATTATGTAGTTTGAAAACGCTAGAGTTCAAAGGATCAAACCAGTCCCTGCCACATCTCAAGAGGAGTACTGCTGTAAGCAACTTTAGAAAAGACAGACACAGAATTGTCATCAAGTGGCAGTGCAAGTGAGCAAGACTTATATCCCACCATAGACACCAGACCAAATATACTGCCACGTGGTGTTGAAGTGGCAGATGACCGTGGAGTAGAGAGATGGATTGAAGATATTGGCATTGATATTTTTTTTTCAAAAGCAGCAACATTTCACTGATTAATAATAATCAAATATACAACTTAGAGCAACTGCTTTTCAATATCAGCTTGTACTGCATCAGTCAGCCAAGCTGGGAAGTCAGTCTTCCAAACAGTCTCAAATTTCAAGTTGACAGCAAATTTTGCTAAACTATGACTAACATGGTTGTTCTCTCTTTTAGTAAAGGAGAAACAACACTTATCAAAAGTTAACCGTTGTCGCTTAATAACCTTTATGATGGTGGAAATTTGAGCATCTTCCTCAGTTCCCTCTCTAAGTTTGTCAACCACTACTTTGCAATCTGTCTCAAATTCCTCATTTCTCCAACCCTCATTCCTTGCCCGAACCATTGCTGCTCTTAGTGCTAATGCTTCCTCCACTTTTGCTTCTCAGCATATTTTTGAGAGGCACGCCTATGAGCCAACCAGTTTGCCATCCTTATCACATGCGATTATCCCCCAACTTGCTCTATTTTCTTTCTGTTCTAATGCAGCATCTGTGTTGATTTTTATGCACTCCCCTTTTGGAGCTGTCCACCTAGCCTTCTGTTCTGCTCTCTGTTGTTCTTCATCTTCCTGTCTTTGTTCTTCCTCCAATGCTTTTTGGTACTCCAGCCATTCTGACATTGCTTTCTGGATGACTTGAACTAGGTTTAGAATTTTGTGTTTGAAATTTATCTCATTTCTGGCCTTCCAGATATGCCAGAGTATATATACCGTGGCTTCAATGTGTATTATCCTTTCATCCCTTTTAGTAGCCTCCAATAACCTTTCCCACCATAGCCAGAAATTACCCCTATACGTGTCAAGTCCATCCCACTGAATTGGGCTTGCTTTCCAAATCTGCTGTGCATTTTTGCACAAGAACAACATATGCTCCAATGTTTCTTGGCTTTCTCCACAGCATCTACCTAAATGATCTCTTTTGCCACTCCGTGACTTAATGACTTCATTTACGGGCAGGATTCCTTGTAGACATTTCCAAATAAATTGCTTTATCTTATGTTTTACATTCAAGTTCCAAATGAACTTCCAGCTTTTTGTGGTCCCCTGGTTTCTGCTACTTGATCCTTCATCTTTTTTCTTTTGGTTTCCTTCCTCTCTTAGCTTTTTTTGCTAAAGCATATCCAGATTTGACAGTATATTCTCCTGAGCTTGTTCCTGACGAGTGTAGTCTATCCTTTGATTCAAATAGACTGATTGGAATCTTTTTAATGCTCTTTCTATCCTCCTCATCAAAGATTCTGCCAAGAGTATCTTCATCCCATTCTCCATTCCTGATTAACTCACTTACCCATTGAAACTCTGTGTCATGGGTGTGTCCATTACTTATATTTCCATCAGTTGAATCTTCTAGCCACTTGTCCTTCCAACTATCAATAGTTTTGCCATCACCTACTCTCTTCCTTATACCGTTCTGCAGTAGTTCTTTTGCACTTAAAATTCTCCTCCAGCACCATGAACCCCCATTCTTTAGATTCGTTTCCCATATTGTTTCCCCTTGAAGTATATCCCTTTTAGTATCTTACTCACCAGTAAATTGGGTCTTGTCAGTATTCTCCATAGCTGCTTTGCTAGTAGTGCCTCATTGAATTCTTCTAAAGCCCTGAAACCAAGACCACCTCTGGTTTTTACTTCTGTCAGCCTTCCCCATTTTATCCAATATATTTTTCTGTCATCTCCACTTTGGCCCCACCAAAAATTTGCCACTTCCCTACATATATCTTTACAAAGCATTTTAGGCAGCTTTCAGGAAGACATTATATAAGCGGGAAGAGAAAGCACTACTGATTCGAGAAGAACTTCCTTGCCAACTTGACTCAACAGTTTTTCTTTCCAATTGGTGATTCTACTAATGACTCTTTCCCTGACATAATCAAAGACTTGCCTTTTTGATCTCCCAATCACCATTGGGAGTCCCAAATATTTACTCTGCTTGGCTTCCTTCATGTGCTGCATCACTGAGAGTACTTCCTGCCTCTTCTCATTTGTCACGTTCTTGCTAAACAAAATTGAAGATTTTTTTGGATCATGGTTCGCAATATCGGCCGAGTCGTAACCGGAACGGAGGGGACCGGTACGATGCGGATCCTCAAACCGCGGATATTACCATATTCGCAACGATTCACTCTGACTCGGCCGATATTAGCTGATTCGAATCCGTGATGCATGATATCGGCTGAAATATCCTAGTTAACTCGGAGTTGACTCGGATATTTTTTTAAATTGTACCTTTTTTTATATTTTCTAATTTTAGTAATTTTTTCAAAATTTTTGAAAATTTTCATGTGCTATAATGTGCGTATCACCCGATATTCAACCAATATGCCGCGATGGATGTGGAACAACTGAAACCGCGACACGACCGCGACCCGCGATGGCGACCCATTTGCCTTGTGGATTTTGCATATGTCTCCAGTGTTCTCATGATTTGCTCAGCTTCCCTCCCATTTGCCTTACAGAAAATTAGTGAGTGATCTGCAAAAAATAAATGAGATAGACTGGGACTTTTGTTAGCAACTTTTACTTCCGATATTAGACCCCGCCTGGCAGTTTGCTTTAACAAATTAGACAAGCCTTCTGCCCAAATAAGAAACAGACAGGGGTCTGATAAAACCAATGTTTTCAGAACCGGACCGGACCGGCCGGTTCGACCGGTTGGACCGCGAACCGGCCATGTCACCGGTCCGGTCTAATGTTAAAGCCGGAAGTTCATGGAGAACCGTTGAAACCCGGACGAACCGGACGAACCGTGCGAACCGTTAAGAACCGTGAACCGGCGGTTTTTTAAATTCTTCAACAAAATATCAAGAATGGTGTAGCTAAGATTCGAACTTGGGTCTCCAAGTTTAAATATGACAATCTTACCGCTAGACTGTACTTAAGTTTGTTGAGAATTCTACTTGACTAAAAAATATATTAAAACATCAAGTTCTTCTCTTATTTTTTTTTTTCAATTTTTTCTTCTTAACCATTTTTAACCCAAATATCCACAACAAGATTTCCTCAAGTCTTCACCATTATTATCAGGTTATTATCTTTAGCAGATTGTAAACAAGTTGAAAATTTCAACTTTTCTTGTTTTCCAACATTTTAGTAAGTTTAATTTTTTTCTTTTCAAGGTTTTTTTCTATATTATTATCTTTAGTTGATTTTTTGCATTTTCTTCTTTTTCCCCTCAGTTTTCATATGTTTCCCTCATTTTTGTTTTATTTTTATTCGATTAATTAAGGATGAAATTTTTGCAAAAGTAGTGCACATCCGTGTAGGAATTTGGTAGGAATTACAAATAATAACATTGGGTTGGTCAAAAATATGGTAGTTGGCACATAATCGTAGCTATTGATAATTGAATTTAAAATAATTAATGGTATAGGATCATTGAATTTAATATAACATGTTAATTAGTAATGTTTAGTAGCAATTAATTTTTTATGTGTTTAACTGTATATTTGTTTTTCAAAAATTTTTAGTTTTTTTTAGTTTGAGCAATTAGATTTATATTTTTATAATAAAATTTTAACTTTTTCAGCTTAAGTTGATGAAATTGTGAAGGTGGTGTGGTTGCTTATCATGCCACTGATAAAAGTTTGCTATTCAAATAGTTTGTCTTAACTTGAACTCTTTTATGGATTTTTTTAAGGGTTGTAAAAGAATTTCAATATTTAATTTATTTATTTTTTGTGTTTTTATTTGTGATAATTGGTGCACATTTGGATTGTATCTATTTATGTTTATAATGAATTTATGAAAACTTGTGGTGAATTATGATATTTTAATTATATTTATCATTCCATGTTTTGTGTATAACTTTTAGAAAATTTATTATTATCATAACTTAAATTAAGTTATGTTGGTAAAGTTCAAGTGTAGAATGAAACCTGCTTAGTACTTAACACTAAAAAAAAAAAAAAAAAAAAAAAAAAAAAAAAAAAAAAACAGTGAACCTTTGAACCGCCCGGTTGGACCGGTCGAACCGCAAACCGGCCACCTCTCCGGTTCACTGACCGGTCCGAGTTTAAAAACATTGGATAAAACCCTTTTCCTCACCATTAATATTAACAGCATAAGAAGATTCAGAAGAAATGCAATTCATGATCCATTTTATCCACTGAGGGTAGAGACCCATCTAGCCAAGTAGACCCATTCTTCCCTATCATAAGCTTTAGACATATCCAGCTTTACTGCCATATACCCATCCCTACCAGATCTTTTGTGATTTAAAAAGTGAATGTATTCATAGGCAATAAGGACATTATCTAAGATCTGTCTACTAGGTACAAAGGCAAATTGGCTTGGGCTAATGCAGCAACCTAGAACATGTTTAAACCTATTCACCAGAATTTTGGCTATGATTTAAACCTGTTCTATCAACCTAGAACATGATTTATACAGTACATTACATAGGCTAATGGGTCTAAAATGAGCTACTAGAGTAGGGGTATCAATTTTTGGAACCAGGCATATAAGTGTCGCATTAACAGCCTTTAGAAAGTTGCTAGAATGAGAAAAACTTTTAATGGCAGCGACCAACTCATTAGAGGTGGCAAAATGGGCGGGATGGGCGGGATTTGCTTGGGTTTGAGATGGAACCGAGTCATATGGGTTTGGGCCCAACCTTACCCATATGTGTTTTGGGACTAACTTGGGCGGGATCATTTTGGGATGGGTTTAGATTGATCCCGCCCAATACCCAAATCCATTTTCTACATATTTTTTTCCTTTAATTCATTTTTTATTTTTATATAATTTTAATATTTTTGATTTATTAAATTTCTTTTAGTTTTATTAAATAAACATGCAAGTGCTTTATACTCAAGATTCCCACCAAAAATTGGATTAACAAATAAAGGAAAAGATAGATATAGAGCCATATTCCAACATATATCAAGATGGCCAAGGTCCTTAGGATGTTGAATATTTATCCTTATCATTGTCCAAGGATGACAGGTCTAAACTAACTGAAATGCTGGAAATTCTTGTGGATAATGACTAGGAAGACTACTAGATTATATTCGCTGGTATGACTATAAAAATTGTTAAAGATAATTTTTGAATCTAAGATTCCGTTTGGATTGACTTTATTTTTCAAAAAATAAGTTTTTCAAATACAATGTTACAGTAATATACAATAACTCAAGAAACATCCCATCCATATTAATATATCAAATATTTCAAAAAAATTTTATAGTAAAAATTTTTCATATACACTGCTACAATAAAATATTTCAAAAACACCTACCAAAAACAGCTAATCCAAACGGAGCCCTTGCCATTTGAGCCCAATGGGTACCCAAGTATTTCCCATCCTTTCCCATTCATTAATGGGTATAGTTGGGATGTGTCCCAACTTAAACCCAATACCAAATTATAATACCCATCCCGCCCAAAGTTCCTTTGGGCATGGGTAGCCCATTGGGACTTGGGACAAATTGCCAGCTCTACAACTCATATTTTATGATATTCCAAAATTTCTGAAAGAACAAAGGGGACATACCATCTGGTCCAGGAGATTTATTTGGATCCATAGAAAAGAGTGCTGTCCTGATTTCCAATTTTGTGGCAGGCCTGATGAGCTGGGAGTTCATCTCATTAGATATTGTCTGTGGAATTCCCTGGAGGATGCTACTGAAGTCATTGGGTTGATCAGAAGTGAATAACAGCTGAAAATAATTTATGATTTCATTGGTGACCTCATCCTTATTGCAGCATCATTCTCCCTTACTGTTCCTTAACTTGGCGATTCTGTTCCTCTTTCTTTTGCTGGCTACACAAGCCTGGAATTAACTGTGTTTTTATCCCCCTCTCTCAGCCATTTGACTCTAGATTTTTTACTCCAATACAGCTTCTCAACTTTATAAGCTTCTGCTAGCCTTTTGTGCAAACCAGTCAATTTGATGTTCTTTCCCTGCATGTTTCCTTCTTTTACAGTTTTTATTGTTCTTTAATCTGTTTGATAAGTTTTCCAACATTGCTATTAAGGCTTCCCTTCTTCCTTCTAAGAAGGGCAATTCCGCAGTTTTTTATCTTACAATGGACTCTTAAAGAATCTAGACCCTTGCTGATTGTTAGTCCAAGCCTTTTTTAACATCCCCCACCTCTTTATACAACTAAGGATGGCACGGCCACCCGCCCCGCGAGAGGCTAATGGGGCTGGGAGTGGGGCGGGAGGAATTTTTTTCTCCCCCGCCCCGCCACCCACTTTAAAAAATAAATAGATAAAATATATATATGTATATAATTATATATATAATATATAATTTAATTAGTTACAAACTTATGATAATGATATTATTAGTTATATGTGTTATATAATGTATATTAGTATATGTAATATAATTGATATTATCAATTACACTAATAATTATATATGTGTACTAATACAAATTATTAATTGGTTATACTAAATTTACTAATACATTTATACTAAATCCCTAATTACACTTAATACAAATAACATTTTTTCTCAAAAAAAAGCACAAGCACAATAATGAATTAGTGATTGTATTTGTGCCAAAAGTGAAAACTTGACTACTTTAGTTATATTTATTTCATCATGTTGGATTATATTCAAATAGCTTTTGTTTGATTGTTTTTATAAGTTTCAATTGTGAAATTACAATGAATAATAATTTGGTGATGTGTTGATATTTTAGTACTTAATTATTTGCTAAAACTTAACTATAATAAAATTATATAACAAATTTTTATTAGTCCGACGGGGGCACCCGTGAAGGAAGCGGGGCGGGGCGGGGGAAGTGGAGGACGGGGCAGCGGGAATTTGTAGGCCCGCTCCAACCCCGTCCCGTTGCCATCCTTATATACAACAGCCACTTTTTATCAAACATGAATCTGTTCCTCTGTTTTTTCTTGATGCGGTTAGTATCCAATATAAGAATGCAATGGTTAGAAGCTTCTTTTTCTATGTGATAGCATTTAGCTCTATCATGGTTATCCAG